CTACCGCATACACACAACCTACCACACACACACACAACCTACCACACACACACCTACCACACACACAACCTACCACACACACAACCTATCTCATACTTTTACAACCACCACACACACAGACACACATCTATCACAAACAAACTTATCACACACACACCACACATACACAACTATCACACACAAACACATACCATACTACACACACACCGACCACATACAGACACCCACAAACAGACCTACCACACACACACAGACACACATAGACATAACCACCACACACATAGACACACCCACCACAAACACATACTTACCACACATATATACAATCCACTACACATACCACTATCACACACAGACACACAGCACAAACATATGCACACACAAAATCTAATTTTGATCCTGATAAAAATATAAATTTATAGATTTTTTTTATACTATTGAGCTCTTCAGCCTGGGAACATGAAGTATTTTTCTGTTTTTTTTTTTAATGACCAGTAACATTTTTTATTTCTATCATAAAAATATGTGCAGGGTCTCTCACTATATTTACTCCTGGGTATTTTATTATTCACGTTGCCACTGTGAATATTAACATAAAAATAAAATTGATTATTGCTGATAATATAGAAAGGCTACAGAACATTTACTTTTTAGCCAGCTGCCTTATGAGCCCTTATACAGTCTATTATTTTTCTGCGTTCATTTTCTTGGCTTTCTGCATATGTCTTCTCTCAGACTGGCTTTATAAAGAAATGGTCATTTAGAATCTTTTATAAAAATTTTTAATGTTATTTTGTTAATCACATTGGCCATTAGTTTTTGTACAATGTCAGCTGACAGTGTTAAGTCAGGCTTGCTTAGGAAACATTTTATTATGTTAATGGCAACCTTTTATTTTGTTTTGTTTTTGGAGATACAGTCTCACAATGTAGCTCTGGCTGTCCTGGAACTCAACTCTCTGTAGACCAGGCTGGCTTCAAACTTACAGAGCTCTGCCCACCTCTGCCTCCCAAGTGCTATGGTTAAAAGCATGCACTACTATACCCAGCTAATGGACTACTTTTTAATTCTTCCTATTTTTACATATATTAAATATAGATTCCAACAAAAAATTTTTAAATTACATGTATATGTGTGTGTCCAAGTGTGAGTTTGTGTGCAAGAGTGAGTACTCATAGAGCCAGAAGAGAGTATTGGCTTCATCGCCTAGAGCTGGGGTTGCAGGAGGTGAACTATCAGTTGTGGGTGCTGGGAACCAAACTCATGCTGTCTGCAAGAACACACAGTAGCATTCCACCGCTAAGCCATCTCCCCCACCCCTCCTCTCTATTTGAAGAAGAAGTTTGGGTGGAAAAGGACACTGATTTTACTGTTTTATTATCCACAAAGACGAGCATCTGGTTTCTCCTACTTGACACGATAATGATAATATTAACTGCATTCCCACAGTAACACCTCATTGCCATGGCTTAGACATGAATCTGCCCCAGAGATGTGTCACACCACTGCCCTCCTCCTTACCCCTCCTGGAGTGAGATAGCCACCCCTCCCGAACTTTTTGCATTGACCATGCCCATCGGGGCGTAAGGACAGGTGATAGGTGGGGACTAGGTCTGGGGTCCCGGACCCCAAGTCGCTCTCTTACTTCCTGTTCAGAGACAGAGAGCATGGGGGGGCATCCTTGGAACTGGAACCTGCGGTGCTCATCTGTTTCTGGTGTAAGTGATTTCTCCCTGAATAAACATCCCATCAGCCTATATTGTGTCCCAGAATCTTATTTCCCACGCATTACCCCTCCTATGGGCCATTGTCACTGATAGCCATGCTGTGGTTCTCGCCTGTGTGAACAGAGATGGCAAACGCATGAGCATTTGTTATGGGAGACTGAGCCCCGACTAACCCTAGTGTCACGCCTTGTCTACTGGAGCTGAAGTTCCCTTTAGCGAGGCTGGGTGACTGGGAGGAGTGGAGGGCGGAATGGGAGGACCAGGAGGGTTAGAGGACTAGAGGACTGGAAGACTGGTGGCAGACACTTTCTTCCCCAGGATAATCAGGTGCAAGGAGGAAGTCGAAGGAAATGAGCTGAGTGTCTGCTCTCTGTTAGGCCTATGTCACATGACCTGCTCCCAACACCTCCTCAGAGTTTCCCCGAATGTCCCAACTCTATATATAAAAGGATAAGTAATTTTCCCGAGGACACAGGAATTTCGTAGAGGAGCTGTCCCTCAAAGGCCCGGTGACTTCTGGATTTACAGCTGAGCTGTGGTTTCTGAGGACTGGCAGGTAGGATGGGTCCAGAACTTGGGTGGGAAAGGACTCCCACCCCTGGCTAGTGTGCCTGGCCTGCTGACCGTGTTCCTGTCCAGTGCGGGGACGTAGGTATCTGTTCTGAAGGCTTGCCTGGCATTGGCTAATCGCCATGGCAGCATCCGTATGAGGTCAGGGCTGTCCCTGTCTTACAGATGGAGGAGTGACAGTGGAGAGACTAAACACCTGGCAGATAGAGCTCAGGGAGCCACGATTTCCGCTCACTGCACTGTATGGAATCTGGGTTACTTACTGAGCTCTTTCTCTGGGGACATGGGGAGGCAGGGTTGGCCAAACTATCAAAAATCCATAACTCTTTCCTCAGTATGCCACAGATTTCCATCCACTCCATCCCATAGGACACCCGTCTTCCCATTCACTAACACTGCTCAGGTTCCACGTGGGTGCCTTTGGGGTTCTACAAGTGGGCAGAGTTAGCATATCTCCTGGATGAAGGAGAGGCTGAGAAGCAATGTCACACCATTGGTCTAGGGAATGGAAGCTACTGTGCCTCTTTTACTTTCTTTCTTTCTTTCTTTCTTTCTTTCTTTCTTTCTTTTTTTTTTTTTTTTTTTTTTAAGATTTATTTATTTTTATTTTCCAAAGCTTTGGGTCCCTTGGGGCCAGAGTTACAAATGGTTGTAAGTTGCTATATGGGGACTGGGACTCAAACCGGGTTCTCAGACAGCAACAAACACCCTAACTGTTGAGTCATCTCTGTAGCCCCAGCCTCTAATTATTAAATACTAAGAGTCTAGAGGCTGGTGGTCCCCCCCTTTGTTGTATTAGGCAGAGTTCTCTAGAGTCAAAGAATTTATATGTCATAAAAATATACTAGAAGGGCATATACAGAAGGGACTAGGTGGTCAGGGGCCACCTTCACAGCAGACAGGCTGAGAACCGGGAAGCTACTCCATGAAGCTGAAGACCACAGCAGTCTCAAATCTGGTGCTGAAGGCCTGGAAAATTCCTGGAAAGCTGTGATCTGCAGTCCTTGTTGGGAGGCTGGAGAAACTAAAGTCTGACACCAGCAAGGAGTGGCAGGAGCCAGGAGTGGGCTGGGAAAGAACAAGGCGGGGAGGGGATGGGAGGGACTGGGAGAGGGAAGAGGAGACAGACTCACTAAGCCGCTAAGCTAAGCGGGCAGGCAGGGGAGCAGCACCAATTTCTCCTCAGCTCTGGGTACCTGGGTTCTCCTGGGAGGTGCTGCCCTCTCCTGCTCCAAGCGGCAAGGTGACTGGATTACCCATGCCATCTGTGGTACTGGGGATCAATCCCAGGGCCTCACATAGGGTAGGTAAGCACTGAGCTACAAAGGAGTCTACAGTTTAGTGTCACCCTGAATCCACCACCGTTCTGCTGTTTCTGTATCACAAGTTCTACTGATACAGTCTGTGTGGCCGCCTGCTGTAACCACCGCGGCCTGTACCCATTCCATGCTGTACCCACTGCTCCTGTACCAGGTGACCTGGGAAAAGCACTTCTTTGTGCCACAGGCCCAGGATGCCTACGTGAGAATCTGTTCCCGGAAGACAGAAGTGGGGGCACAAGCACCTGAAATACTTAGGGATGCTTCTACATTTCCCCTTTTAGGTGAACCCTGACATCCATTCCAACCCCAGGATCCAAAGGGTTTACAAAGAAATGTGAAACTTTATTCAAGATAAGCCGAGGATAGGAGCGTATCATCAAACAAACCGATTAGATCCTGTTTCACAAATATTTTTGCCAGCAACATAGTGGTGAAATCTGTAATGCTTTCATTTTTTATGAAAATGTGTTAAAGAAGCCAATGCCGAGAATGCCCAGAGGAGAAGTCCCAAGGATGGGAGGAGTCATGCAGGGTCAGGGCAGGTCCAGGTGGACCACTCTGCGGCAATCCATTTCAGAATCACCTCTGCAGGAATGCAAGGTCACAGGATGCCCTATGTGGGCACCTCCCACAATGGTGGCCCCTTTAGAGAGGCTAGCCCTTTACCAACAGACCATGAAGACAGTGTGAGTGCTTTGTTCCCCACGCACTGTCTACACAGCAATTTCTGAACCACCATGATAGGGGGGGAAGGAGAGAGAGAGAGAGAGAGAGAGAGAGAGAGAGAGAGGGAGAGAGAGAGAGAGCACAGAGAGAAGCAATTTAGGGGCAGAGGGAGAAAAAAGATGTGTGCATGCCCTTAATTATGTATTTTAACCTAAGTAACAATTTTGGTTTCTGACGTATTTCTCTCTCTCTGTGTGTGTGTGTGTGTGTGTGTGTGTGTGAGTGTGTGCGCATTCTTCCTCGATTGGCTTCCACCATATTCACTAAGAGCTTGCAATGGGGACCCTGTCTCTGCTAATATCGGACCCACCTGGCTTTTTGATGGTCTCTGGGGATTCAAACTTCAGTTGCAAAGCACTTTTATCAGTGAGCCTCTATCTCCCTAGGCTCTGTTGGGTATTTTTGTTTGTTGAGACAGTCTCACATTAGACTTAAACTCCTGGCCCTCCTGCCTTAGCCTCCTCAGTGCAGGGATTTAAGGTGTGGACCACATCTAGCATTACTCTACTTTTCTGAGACAGGGTCTTGCTATATGTCTATATAGACTGAGCTAGCCTTGAGCTCACCGTTCTTCTGCCTCAGCCTCCAGAGTGCTGGGATTACAGAAATGTGCAACTATGCCTAGCTTAAATCTCAATAATCTAACAAATATCACCAGAACCAAATCGCTGCATCTTTTATTTCACATCAAATATAAGTGCAAAGTGGTTTTTGTTTTTATATAACCCTACATTTTTGATGGAAATAATTTCACTAGATAAATGCAAGAGATAAATGCAAAAATAACCCTAAATATAAACATTAATTTAGCAAGAAATTAACAAATGTTTGATATTAATAAATACAATTTTTAAAAATCGTTGAAACCATCGAAACTACACAAATGACCTTCCTTGAGGATACAAATTAAAGTGTCTGGTCAAACAGTCATATTTAGTGTACAGGAGCACATTATTCCACAGGTCATTTGTTAATTTAGACAAAAGTTGGTGCTGTGGCTCAGGCTGCCAGACCGCGGGGGAGGCGGGAGGAGTCTCGGGGTGCATGTAGACACTGGCTGAGCAGCTGCACACTCAAGGGACACTCTTGCAGGGGTTCTGCAGCTGTTGCAGCTGTCCCAGCAGACACTGCACGGGCGCCTGCTCCGATTACTGCTACATTTTTGTTGTTGTTGGTTTGGATCCCTGTATTATTAAAACAAGTCTTAAAAAAAATACAATCCTAATAGGTTCTAGTTTCTAAATCTATCTTCTTTCATTCTGAGACTAAATATTTCAAGACCTCCAGTTGTCTGGGCCCATGCTGCATGCACCCTGACTCCTCATATCCTGGTAGTTGGGGCTAGAATGGCCAGGAATGGAACCACTTTCCAAAGTGGCTGAGCTCTTTGAGAAAGAGTTAAACAGTCAGCAATCCATTCTAAGTAAATGCTGACAGGATGCACCTGCACTAGAATTATACCCCATGGACAAATGCACAAGCTTGACCTCCGTGAAGGGAGGGTGGGAAAGTCACTGGTCTGATGAGCCAAGGAGTACCACTTGTCCCGAGGAGTCACAATGAACAGCCAGGGTGTCTTCTAAGAAGCCTACGATGACTCTTTTGGCTGTGACTCCCAGAAGTGCCTGCACACTGTGTATGTGCTTCAGGGCCATTCTGACCATCTGGTCCCTTTCCTGTGGGGTGTGGACTGCTCCAGGATCATCTCCCTCTACTCCCGATTTTAAGAACTGTAGGAAGTAGAACTGGATCATATCCCCATTCCGCTCAAGAGAGTCTTGTATGCAGGGGAGGTCGGAGGCACTGGCGAGGCTCAAGAGGTGGACCAGCGCCTGGCAGATGTGGGTCCTTAGGCTGGCACAGTACTTGAATTCCAGGAAGTCTGTGGTGTCCTCACTCTTCTGCAAGGCAGTGACCAATGCATTCCAGATCTGAGAGAACTGTTCTAGAGACCCGTACTGTGCTCTCTTGCCTGGGATGGAAAGGGCTGCGGCCGATCTGATGCGCACTTTGAAGTTCTTGCATGACATCACAACCGATGTCAGGGCCTTGTAGGCTTGGGAGGTCCACGGGGCTGACCCTAGGAAGAATTCAGAGTCACTGAAACCAGTGAAGGCTTGCAGATAGACAGGGTGAGCAGGAGAGAGGCGAAGGAAGCATGCATTTTGTGTTTTACTCCACTCTCTTCATAACCCCATGAGGTGCTTTGAGTAAGAATGGTCCCATTGACTCATATATTTCAATGCTTAGTTATCAGGGAGCAACACTGTTTGAGAAGGACTAGGAGGTGTGGCCTTGCTGAACAAAGTGTCACTCGGGATAGGCTTTCAACATGCCAGGCTCAGCCTCTCTCTCTGTGGATCAGGGTGTAGCTCTCTAATGCTCCAGCTCCATGAGTGCCAGCATGATGATAATGGACTAAACTTCTGAAACCCCTAATTAAGTGCTTGTCTTTAGAAAAGTCTTTTTGTGTCTCTTCACAGTGACAGACAGACTAGAGACCAAGACTCATCATAAGAGCAGGGCAGCACAAGCCAAGCTGTGGGATCCCAGGGAAGGGGCTAAGCAGTGATTTCTGGCTTCCCTCTTTCCCTAGACAAGCCTGCAGTATGATCAAGCCTCTGCTACCAAAATAGGATTTTATCTGTCCAAAGGGACAAACCTTGGTGGGGGACACACAGATGGAACTGTACCCAACCTGCTCCTGGCAGTGCATGGCTGTGCACGGCATACAACAGCCCCATTTCTGCTAGCAAAAATACTTCCTTCTCAGACTTGCCACAGCACATTGCACATTTCATTGTTAAAGAAATAAGAACACTTCTAATGTCAAGAACAAGATGCCTGTGTGGTCGTTTCCCCATTTCTGTGCCCCGCCCCTAGCATGTTCTCCACCCCTTCAGAGGGGCTGCCAGCCACTCTGGCTTGAGCGGATGGATGGCAGTTCTCAGCCTGTCCCCTTCTTTACTGCCCCCAGAAAAACACTCTTTCCAGTCTGTGAATGCCAGCGCCACTTACAAGGGCCTCAGCTCTCACTGTCCAGTCTGTTCCTGCTCTGTTCTTCCACATTTCTCAGAGCTCTGCAGCCCCTAGGCAACATCTCCACTGTCTCCCGGGCTCTGCTCTGCCTGGACATCCTGAGAGGTAAGGACACTGGGCCAGCCTCCCCTCCCAGGGACACACCCTTTGCTCTCCAATCCTGTCACAAGCAGAGATGTAGGGCCACTGCTGCCATTTCCAGTGGCTGGGGTCTGTACGCAGGAGAAACTACTAGCCCGAGATGCCATGTCAAGCAAGGCTCATGGTATTCAGGACAGTATGATGGGGACAGAAGTCCTGAGCATCTATTTCTGAACCCAGAACTTGTGAGAGTTGAACCTGTGCTCTCTGTGCCAGAGGTGACACTGTGGATTTGGCCGATTTCCTTCCAGTTTTTTCCCCTAAGTGTTTAATAAAATGACATTACAGAAACGAGTTAATACCCTGTCTTAGTTTGCTTAGCATATAAAGTATTTTCTCAGATTATAAAAAAAAGATCTTTGTAAATATGCTTTTAAAATGGCAATAAAACACCCCATCAAACGCACACATACAATGACTTATTTCATCGTTCCACTAAACTTGATTCCTGTTGTCTTCTAGTCCTGTGACAAAAACCTTTGTCACAAATGTTTTTAACAACAGCACAGACTGGCATGTGCCTTCCTAAGAGGCTCTTGACAGGCAAAGCGAGGGAAAGCATCTTACCAAGTGGAAGAGCAGGGTTTTTAAAAACATTTCCCATGGCATAGCAAGCATTCCATCGGACTTTCATGGCAGCCTCATTTACAACGGTAGAAATCAGAGCCTGGATGGACTCCTCGATGATTTCAGCAAACCTGGGTCTTTCTATGTGAGTGGGTTGGAGAAAATGAAGCAAATTCCCAAGGGCCCGGACTGCGTTGCTTTTGACCTAGAATAAAACATAAAAGTCCTCAGAGTTATTTTGCCAGAGATGTTTCAGGAGGTAGAAATCCCACTTTAAAAAAGACCCTCTATGTCTTAAAGCAAGAGAATAAATGAGACATGAACCCCATGAGGGTGTGAATCCTAGGAACTATGCCTGCTCAGCTGACCCAATGCCCGAGCCCAAGCTTTTTAAATGCACCATGGAAGAGGCACATGCAAGCTCTTTATCTTTCATACTTTTTAATTCCATTGAAGGGTTTATTTCTCTTTCTGTTTAAATACCAGATAAGCATGAATATATCATGCAGGATGACAATGAGGGAACGCGGAGCTCTCTATGGGACCTGAGGCAGCAGCATAAACTGTATGAGTATGGAGTGGGCAGCGCTCCTCTCTGAGTGCCTGACAGCACGCGATGGTTCATGGCTGTCAGGTCACCCTGCTGGAGCAGCGTTGCTGCAAGTGTGCCCCCTCACCATCTTGTGTACCTTGTCTTTGTCCGTGGAGGCTTGTATCGCAGACTGCAACATTTTCAAGAGCAGGAGCCCAGAGAACTCATCCTGAAAACTTGGGTCTGGTGTGTTCCTGTCCCACCCGAGGCACACGGCAGGGTAAAAGAAAAGAACACTTCTTAAATGTGTGCACACAAAGATCAGTCACCAAGTATACGACTGCAAAAACATCAGGAAACAGTTTGACAGATCTTTTCAGATTATACCAAGAACTTACACATCTTTGCTAGTTTGCTTTTGAGAATAGGACCTTTTTATAGAGCTTAGGCTGGTCTGGAACTTGATATGAGACTTAGGTCGACTTCAAATTTGTGATTCTCCTGCTTCAGCCTCCTGAGTGCTGAGATTACAGGCATGTGCTACCACACCTAGGTTTAAACCTGGCAGTTCTTCATTTATGAATGTGACCACAGGGGCTATCTCAAGATTTCATGCCTGGAAGTATTCACTGCATATAAACACCGTTCAGGAAGAGGATGGATAAGAATGCAACCTGTGTGGGCTCTTTGTAACATGTGTTTATTAAACAGACAGTCAGCCAGGTGGTGGTGGCACACACCTTTAATCTCAGCACTTGGGAGGAAGAGACAGGCAGAACTCTGTGTGTTCAAGGCCAGTCTGGTCTACAGAGCAAGTTCCAGGACAGCCTCCAAAGCTATAGAGAAACCCTGTCTCGAAGGAAAAAACCAAACCAAACCAAACAAACACACAGAACAAAATACCATCCTGTTATGGGAAGGAGGCAGGTTTTTATACTACATACCCATTTGTACTGTTCCAATTCTTTTGATCTGTGAATATATTCCTTAAAAAAATATAAACTGTTTTCTCCAATGGAATGCCACTGGGTATCCATTACCCTCCAGGGCAGCTCCATGCTCAGGAGTAAATGGTAACACAAAACAAACTCCATGGGGGTTTTTGTGGGTAATTTTTGTCTTATTGGTTTCTTGGTTTTTGTTTGTTTGTTTTTGAGAGAGAAAGAGAGTGAGCAAACATGAAGTTGGGTGGATACAGATGCAGGGAGATCTGGGAGGAATTAAGTTAGGGGAAAATATGGTTAAAACATATTGTATATAAAAATGTTTAATAGACAAACAAACAAAAACCCCTCTGTACCCTAAGAGCAGGGCAGCTATTACTAAGGTTTCGGATTTCTACTAAGATATTTTCACAATGTGGGTGTATGTTAAATCAGCACATGATAGTTGAATAAATATACTGTTATAGAATAATACGTATTTGAACACTTAGTAAGAACCTACCTGGTTTATTGCTTAAAGAAATATTAAAATAAAGTAGTGAAGCTGTCTGTATAATATGAGGAATTCTTGCTAATTCCATCATAATAAGCAGGAAAGACAACTTTTAGGAATTCTAGAACAGGGAAAGCAAGCTGAATCACTTACATGTTGACAATTAAAGTGTCTGTTAGGTTGCCCAGGGACCAGGCTGCTTTGGCACGCACGTTTAGTGACTTATCTTGAAGTGACATCAATATGGCATTTGCTGTGTCTGCAACAAATATGACGTCCTGTACAACAAACCAGGCTGTATTACTAAGGGAGCTCACACAGCTACTTCTGAACTTCACAGTTCACTGTCACAGAAAGCTATAAGCCTTGACGGTAATTTTGATTTAGAAATCAAAATTCATCTATGGAATGGACATCGCCTGTGACAGTTACCTATGTGTTCTGTGCTTAGGTTGATTTCTACCTCCAAGCACACTCTTTGCACCACACATCCTTCTTAGAGATGCACATCACACATAAGAATATAGGAAAACTTCACCGCCTTCTTAGAAAAATGGGCATTAGCTTTCTCAATCATTACTTCCATGAGGTAATGTCCTCTTTTTTAATCTTTAGCTAATAATTCACTAATTAAACACTGGCTGTACACTACAGTCCCAGGCAGTGGGCAGTGTGTCAAATAATTAACAAATAAAGCATGGGTACTGCACACTGTAACAGCAATTATGGAAATCTGATTACACAGCAGGTTGATTTCCTTCACCGTCAATGCAGAAGCTATATGCGCACAAATCCACTAGTGGCAAAGGCTCCCAGGAAACAGAGGAGCGCAAGCCAGGCTTACTCTCACCTGTCTGAGACAGGGGAAAAGCACATAGACGCCGAGGGCCCTGGAGGTCGCAGCTTTTACTAAATGGTTCTTGTTGTCGTTCAGGCCGAGCAACATTGTGATGCACAAAATCTGCTTGTCATTCTGCAGCGAGAAGGTCCACAAGAGAAGTGAGATGGGATCACTGTATGCCAAAGTCTCCCACAAGTAACTGACCGCTGTGACCAGGGCAAGCGCCTGGACACCAGGGCAGGAGCTGAGGCATAATTTTGGGCAAGGCACACACAGCATCTCATCACATTGCAACTTTATAAAAGTTAATTTACATAGCTAAGGACAGCTCAGAAGCCATTGAGCGATAAAGAACAGGAGCAGAATGAACATGCTCGTGTACCCCAAATCAGACACGAAATCCTCACCCAAAGCAATGGGCTTAGGAGGCGGCATGCTAAGCGAATACGCAGTGTGAAGGCTGTATACCAAGTGTCTTCATACACTGTAGTTTCTCATGTGACTCCTCTGTTAAGTGGATAATACACAGCTTTAAAGAAATCCAAGGAGTCAACAAGCTGGCTGGAGCAGAATGGCTAGGATGTAGACCCAAGACTTTCAACTCAGGACACGTAGTGTTTCTGAGGTCTGTCTTCAGAGCTGTGCCACTCACTCCCACACCTGCCTTCTAAGGCCCAGGAAGCAAGGCTTTCCTGGGGAAGCAGGTGTCACTGCCCTCACTGCAAACTCAACAAAACAGTTCCTTTTTTCTAGAGACGAGGCTGAAAGATTTCAAAACAATGAGCCACACTGGAGCCCTGCTGCCCAGGACATGGTCCGAGAGTTGGCACATGTGGCTAGGTTACCGGCAGACTGCTGAAGGCCTCTGGCAAGATGGAGGACAGGGCATCACAGGCGCTCGCCTGGAGAGTTGGGTGCTCTGAACTCTGCAGGGCTCGGGGCAAAGGACCATTCAACATCGCAGTCCAGAACATCACCACCTAGAACGGAGGCACAGTTAGAATCTCAGCACGATCCCCACAGTGGAACCCATTGAGGTCATGCCCATCAGATGCAGCCTTGGAGATGAGATGTTTTGCAGCTTTTTGTGTTTTCATTGGTTATCTTCCACAGTGATGGAAAAACTTCCGAAGTAACTAGCCAGACCCAGTGAGGACATATACAGTGACAATGATGATCATATGATGGTGGTGATGATGATGGTGGCAACAAGGGCAGAAGCAGCTGTTTTCTGAAGGCTTTATCATAGGCTGGGCATTATTCTAAGTGACTGCCATACATCAAACCATTTTAATCCTCAGCACGACTAAACCAAGTCTGCCCCACCACCACAATTTCTACCAAGAAAACAGAGGCACAAAATGCATTGTAACATGCTAGTCAGCAGCAGGGGTCACTGAGAATGCGGATGCTCTGCCATCCTGCTGGGCTCTTTCAATGTGACCCTATTTGGGCACAGGTGGCTATGCACACCAGTCAACAGGATCAGAGGGAGAGCTGAAGCGATTTGTCTCTTCCTGTCTGTAGCATTGCTTGGTGACTTAATCTGTGTAAGCTTAGGTTCCAACATTTAAGTCTATAATAAGATGTGACAGTGCGTGCTGAGTGCTAGCTCTTAACTTGAGAAGCAGGCTCTGCTGTAGGCACTTTGAAGACTCAGCTTATCATAAACCCCTCAGGCATGTGTCTGACGTGTCCTCCTCATCTTTTATAAAATCCCTGGGATTTTCGATTCATTTCAGAATTTGTTTGCTTTTTGGTTTTTCTAGTTTTTGTCCATCAGACTTGGTCCTGGGCTTTGCTGTGTGTTGTCTTTGTCCACATCCTACCTCAGCTCCTGGAAACCCAGTCTGGACTCTTCTCACCTCAGAATGTGTGAATAAGATGGCTACACCCTCCTGGGAGGACCAGTTACTCTCGCCTCCAAATATTTACACATGTTGGGCCCGCCCACTCTGAGTGGGGCTGATCTGTATAACCAACAGGGTACCGTGAAAGTGACAGCATGAAACTCTGGAAGCCAAGCCACAAAACATCTATCTCCCAGCTTCTCTTTTTCTCAGATCTTGATGTGGGGAAGATGGATGCCATGTTAACAGGACACCAAAGGCCCCGATGAGATGTTCCCCAGGGAGAAAATGAGTGAACCTTTTGTCAACAACCAGGTGTAAATGCAGACACAACACTCACACATAAAATAAATCTAGAAGAAATTATGGAAAAAAAAAAAAAAAAAAAAAAAAAAGGCTTGCCCACAGCCACTTGTCTAGCAAGAGAAATATGGATTTCCACCCAAGTTCTATCTGATATGCAAACTCAGTCCATCTCCTTGCAAGTGGTCCCATGAAAGCTTGCAGTCTTGGAAAAGAGTCTGGCTATTTAAACTGCAAAGATGATGGACATCTTTGTAAATGGTAGAGAAGAGGCAGGGTGAAGGGTCAGAAGGAAAAAGCTTCACCAATGCTGAGTCCATTTGGCTTTTGGCACCAAGTAGGGGCTATTTTGGTGGGGTTACATGTCTCATCCAGAGAAGTGGCACAGTGTTGGGGTGACAGAAACAGTCCAATCATAGTTTTTGTTTTGTTCCCTTCTCTTTTTTCTTTCTTTTTTGTCTTTTTTTTTTCCCCTCCTTTCTGGTTTTTTGAGACAGGGTTTCCTCTGTGTAGCTTTGGAGCCTGTCCTGGAACTCACTCTATAGACCAGGCTGGCCTCGAACTCACAGAGATCTGCCTGCCTCTGTCTGCTGAGTGCTGGGATTAAAGGCGTGTGCCACCAATGCCTGGCAAGCTCTCTCTCTTGATCAGAAGGTATCATAGGAACCACACAGGTTACTTGTTGATTAGATATAAAGAATAAGAAGCCTTGGGGCTGCTAAGATTCTCAGCAGGTAAAGGTACTTTGCTGTGCAACTATGGTGTCCTGAGTTCAATCTCTGGAAGCCACATAAATATGGAAATAGAGAGCTAACTCCACAAACTATCTTCTAACCTCAACATGTGGGTGCTGGCACACATACCATAGCCAGTAATAATAAACAAACAATTTAATGAAAACATTAAAAATTAAGAAGTTCTGTTGTCCTATTCCACATCAGGAACACCATGGATTTGTTCCGAATTTTATTTACTATTATTATTAGTGTGCACATGAATGTCATATGTGGACACACCTGTCACAGTGCACATGGGGATGCAGAGCAGAACTTGTGGAGTTGGTTCTTTACGTGGGTTCCAGCGGTCACACTAGGGCTGTCAGTCTTGTATCCCTGGGCAGCAAACACCTCTACCCACAGCACCATTTTGTTGCTACATTATGGTTTTCGACACTGGAAGAAATGATATTATCTGCTCCACTTTATTACTGAGCCTCAAATAAAAAGCACACTAGAGCATTTCAGAGAGAACACTGGGAACGGAGCCATGCTTACCATGTAAATGGGTACTCTCTGCTCAGGAGCCATGTTGGAATCTGGCTTATACTGCTGTATCAAGCCTGTACCCAGTTCTTCCAGAAGCTGCCAAGATACAAGAAAGGAGCTGTCAGAGCAGAGCATAAGCACTATGGCAGCCACAAATAACAGACCTTCAGTTTGGAGATACCTCAAGTCAATAGGAAAAGCTGTCTTTTGTTTTGTTTTGTTTTGAAACAGGGTCTCATTATGTATCCCTGGCTGGCCTCAAATTTAGATATCCACCTGCCTCTGCCTCCCTCACACTGGGGCTAAAGGTATGCACACAATGTAAGAAAAGTAATTTCAAACTGATTTTTCTCTTCTCAGCAACTATGACAGAGGTAATCTTTGAAGGAGTAAAACCAACGCCTACGGTGTTAGCCAACCCTGTACATAAGAACCAGGAAAGGAACACATCCCCTCCTTGCCTGAAATCTGAGAAAGCACAGAAGAAAACATGTCACTTAGAATGTAATTACCTTCACGCTGTGGAGCTGAATGGACGGGTTTGCTTCACCCATGCACTTACAGATCACCTCACCAAGCTCCATCAAGTACAGCTGAGCCATTGAAAAATAGCCCCTGGCCAGGTGAGCCAAAACCTACATAGAGAATGGGCAATTAGCTCATCTGAAAGCAGGCAAGGCTGCACAAACCACAAGCGATATTTCCGCAGCCGTTCACACCTAACCCAGACCTTAATCTAGTGTTGGAGAAGTGAGAAGCAGCCGTAATCTAGCTACTACTGGCGTTAGCTCCATGATGCTTTCCTGCATCTCACTCAAGCCTCAGGGTAATCCTTTGATGCACATTTTTATGGAATTTATAGCCGAGAGGATCAAGGCTGAAGGGTAAAGGGTGTACTCAGTGTCCTCAGATGACCAGCAGAACTAAGCTGTGATTGCCGTCACCTTAACACATCTGGAGTTAACTAAAACCCAAGTGGCTGGGCATGCCTGTGAGGGATTCTTTTCTTAATGAAATCATTTGAAGTGGGGAGACCCACTTTTAATCCAGGTCTTTTGAGGTGGGAAGATCCACCTTTAATATGGGCCATTCCTGCTGGCAGCCTGTATAAAGGACATGGAAGAAGGGAACTTTTGCTTTTTGCTGGCTTGTTCTCACTTTCATTCCTTCACTGGCATTAGAGCCCACTTCTTTGGGATTCTGGCATATGCTGAAGACCAGCTGAGACATCCAGCCTCATGTACTGAACAACTGCTAAATTCTTGGACCTCCTGTTGGTAAACAGTCATTATTGGGCTAGCTGGACTACAGCTTGTAAGCATTCTAATAAATCCCACATATATGTATGTATGTATGTATGTATGAAATGGGTATATATACTCATTCTATCAGTTCTGTTCCTCTCAAGCAGTGGTTCTCAACCTTCCTAATGCTGTGACCCTTTATAATTCTCATGTTGTGGTGACCTCCAACCATAAAATTATTTCTTTTTTCTTTTCTTTTTTTTTTTTTTTTTTTTTTTTCGAGACAGGATTTTTCTGTGTAGCTTTGGAGCCTGTCCTGGCACTTGCTCTATAGACCAGGTTGGGCTCGAACTCATGGAGATCCACTTGCCTCTGCCTCCTGAATGCTGAGATTAAAGGCAAGTGACACCACTGCCCAGCCCATAAGATTATTTCATTGCTACCATAACTGTAATTTTGCTACTGTTAAGAATTGTAATGTAAATAACTGATATGCAAGATATCTGATGTGTGACTTCCCTAAAAGGGTCATGACTCACAGGTTGAGAAACTGTTCTAGAGAACCCTGACTATACTCAAGCGCCTTAGACTACATCTGAGTACAGGGGTATTTTCTTTCCTTTTCAAAATGTTTATTTGTTTATTTATTTACTTTGTGATGAGTTCTTATCTTACTATGTAAACTTGTGTGGTCTGGTACTTGCTATGAAAACCAGACTGGCCTTGAACTCACAGAGACCTGCTTGCCTTTGTTCCCAAGTGTTGGAATTAAATATCTAGGCCAACATGCTCTGAAAGGGATATTTTCTTCCTTCCAAAGAGCAATCATTTTGTTTCAATAAATAAATAAAGATGACAACAAAGAATTTATAGAAAATTAACTTTAAGTTGTAGAAGTCAAACTTAATCATTATATCCACCTGTCATACAATATTTGAAGTGACTACAACAGTCTATAAAAAAAAAAAAAGAACAGAAAGGAATATACTTAACAATTTACAAGGACCGCCCTAAACAAAACAACAAAGCAAAGGCCACACCTAAAAGGGAGGCCACTTGATACACTTGCCCCTTAGTCACCCTCCTGAGAAGGAATGGGCCCTTCCTTGCAGACAAGAGGGCATGACGATTCCTACCTGCAGAGCCTCCAGTCGCATGGGGCACGGTTCATAGGCGCTTCCCTGGGCAGAGCCAGCATCGCCACCTGAGCAGGAATCCTCCTTGGGCAGCACCACAGTGGAGATGCAGAGTCGGATGAGCCAGCAGGGCTCTGCAGATGCCTTTGGCGAGCTGACCGATGCTTCCTCCAGAGAGGGTCCCACAGGGACTTTGTTCCAGTAGTCGGGAGTGCTGAGGTGAGGAGTTGCTGGATTGCTGCTGCTGAGCCCAGAGGAACAGGGCTGCTGCAGGAGCAGCTGGACTTCTGGCAAAGGCGCATGAGTGGACACAATAGCTCCTAAGAGTGTGAGACTTGACACTCGAACGTTAACATCTGTCCAAAGAAAATCAGAGCACATCACAAAACCACTGTCATAAGTGCTACAGTTATCTCCGCTGGCAATTAAGGGCTGCAAGACTTTTCTTTCATTAGGCATAATTAAACTCCTAATTCCAATTCACAGAAAATATGGGACAATACCATGATGGAGCAACATGAGAAATCAAGAACACTATTCTACAAGACAGCTGACTAGGAGTATCCAAATGAGAATACTAGAAAAATCAAAATCAAAATATGGGGTGATGTTTCTTGATGTAAAAAGGCCATAGAACCCAGGTATGGAGCTGTATACCTGAAATCCTCACACTTGGGGACGAGAGTTGGTAAGAGCACTTGCTGCTCTTACAGAAGACTAAGAGGTTGACTTGTAGCACCCACACCATGTAGCTCACAACTGCCTGTAATTCCAGTTCTTGGGGATTCTGTACCCTCTTCTGGCCTCCTAGGTACCCACATACACATGTACATACTCAGCCACAGTCACAAAAATAAAAACAATGTATCTTTACAATCCTAGCACTCTGGAAGTGGGGGGGACAATTGAGGCCAGCCTGGGCTCTATAGGAAGATACCATTTCAAAAACAAGCAGAAACACTACAGTGATACACATAGTAACAACATGTTATTAATCCTCGAACTTGAATGATCCAAGGATTTAAAAGAAAAAAGCTATTAAAAACAAAAACAAACAAAACAAACAAACAAAAAAAAAAAACAAAAAAAAAAAAAAAAAAACAGGGTTGGGGGAGTTATCTCAGTGATTGAAGCAATTGCCCATAAGTATGAGGCCTGGGGGTTCAGATCCCCAGAACCCATATAAATACTAAGTGGGTATGGAAGCCCACATATAATTCCAGTGCTCTGAAGACAAGACCTGGGATCCCAGGAGGAAAGTGTCTAGCCAGAGATCCGGGTGCAGCTGACAAACACTGTTCAATGAATTAATTAGAAAAACTGAAGAAGATACCTGATGCCAACCTTGGCCTTCACTTGTGCGTGCCCACGTACACAAAAGCCCATGAACACATGCACTCACACCACCACACATATGTAACAAATGAGAAAATGAAAAAGCTAAAAGGTCAGCATCCGGGTTCAGTTTTTTGCATGTGGCTGTCTAGCAGCCCCAGCACCATTTGTGGAAGAGTTAGCAGCTGACGCTGATGATGTGGGTATGCTGCTAGGCCCTCTACTCTCTTCTGTTGATCTATGTTCTACAGTCTTCACTGTAGTAGGGTTTGAGGTGTGGACACTCGCAGATGGAACCTGGAGTCTTGCAGCTCTAGGCAAGTGCTCCACCACTGAGCTCGACCTCCAGCCCAACTTCTCTGTCAGTACTATGCTTCCTATTTCAGGTCTTTCGGCTGAGAACCTATTGGCCAGTGTTATACACAGTGACCTGCTGGGCTTTTGACTGCTGGGCTTTACACTAAACTTTAGGTCAAGTTTGGAAGAACTGACACTGAACCCTAACCATGAACAAGGACTCTTCCATTATATCCATCACTTTCTAGTGTTCATACGAACCTTCCTCAAATTTTGTTAGATTGCCTCCTAAGCATTTCAGAGTTTGAACATTTTAACAATGAAAACATTCAAGCACAAAGTCAAACATTTGACAGGGACTGTTGAGATGTGTCTGTTGTCCTGGGGCTGAAGATGCAACTAAAGGGAAAAGGTACAGCTAGACAAGCAGCTGCCTGCACCAGGAGCCCTGGGCTCTACCTTGTGCTTCTGCCATCCCTGTGATGAGAGGCCTCAGATAGGCCTTTCTGTGTCCTGGTTTATACACTGGCTTACGTAAGGAATGGGTTGAACCTGGCCTCTCATGAAAACCTTACAGAACAGGTGCAAGTCTTCCTGTTATGAGGAAATTGGGGTTCTGGATGGGCCATAGCTGTGAGAATGGAAGAAGAGGGAGTGAACTATAGATTCTCAGACGGACTCCAGGGCCAGGGCCCCTCCCACAGCATTCCAGAAAACACTGCACATTCCAGAAAACAAAACAAAACTCTGCAACTCTAAGGGAGCCTGATCTGCAATCCTGCAAACAAACAAAAAAGATATTCTAAAGGCAGGAGTTTACAGCCCATACATATGTATGGGAAAAGCCAAGACTTACAGCAGTTAAGTCTTCAGTTAGAGGAGATGTGAACCAACTTCAAATGACTTTACATGAACCCCTCAGATCACGTTACAGAAGTCAGATCTTTGTATTATGGTGTTTCTCCCCAAAACATGATATTGCCCATCTACTATCCACCCACCCACCCATCCATCCATCCTTCCTTCCATCCATCTCTCTGAGATGCAGCTTGTTCACTGTCTTGAGAAATCGAAGCAGCACTCAACTCATAACCAGTTCTCCACCTTCTTTCCTTCCCCCAATGACCATCTAGTGCCCTTGACAAGCTGACACCAAGCAAAGCTCTTAGGGCTGGAGAAATGCTCTCAACATGTACTTCTCTTTATTTGCAACACTGACAATCTACATTTGATGGACATAAAGAAGCAGTTTGCACTACTAACCTTTGTGGCGGATGTAAGGCTTGATGTGGTTCCAGACTTTGGTCAGCAAGCTGAGTTTTAGGCGGTTGTAGGGGGCATTTGATACTAGATTTGCAAGGCACTGTGACAGAACAGAAACATATGTTCACCCACACAAAAAATAATAATGATATTTTTTATACTTATTTTTGTGAGTGTGTATGTGGAGGTCAGAGGGGAACTGTGGGAATCTGTTCTCTCCTCCCACTTCATGGATTTTGGGGATCAAACTTGTTTTGATGCAAGAGCCTTTACCCATGGAGCCATCCCACCATTCTTCTGTTGCCCAATTTTAAAGGTCTATTTACTAAAAAACAAAACAAACAAACAAAACCCAGTCTTTATTTATTTGTTTTGGTTTTTCAAGACAGAGTTTCTCTGTGTAGCTCTGTAGACCAGGCTGGCCTCAAACTCAACAGAGATCGCCTGCCTCTGCCTCCCAAGTGCTGGGATTTAAAGGTGTGCGCCACCACTGCCCAGCTGAAAACCAGTCTTTTTAATGTCTGTAGTTAGATTAGCTAATAGGCACAGACTTCCAAACAGGTGTCTTTGATATACTTAATACTTATGTTCTCAAGTCAGATTACTTTTGGGTGATGTGAGACACACAAACTGAAGTTTCTCTGAAGCTGAACTTGGAACTTACCTTAATTATCTGAGTAATGGTCTGGGACGATGACTCTGCCACCAACGCTAACAAAAGACATCTGTGCAACTCTCTAATGCTGGACGCAATCGTTACAGAGAAGGGGGTGAAAGCCATTTTGTGGTCAGTGGTGTCTTCAGCAACAGAAAGAAACTGCTTTGAGCCTTCCAAGATTGCAGACAAAACTTGCAAGGCACAGGCACGTGTCTGGAATTTCAAGATGATTCACACCGGTCAGTCAGAGGCTGGGATTCAGGCTCCCTTCTTTCTATATTGACTCAGTTCTCCAAGTATTCAGGGCCATCAGGGCAGAGAAGGAAGGCAAGGGGAGGATGCATCAGGTACCAAGGGCAGCTACAAGGTAGGCCACCTGCACCACAGAAGGCCACCATGGGACATCAGTAGGGCAGCACACAGATCTGAAGTCCTCTGTGGGAATGATTAGAGACCTCCATACCTAAGTATAAGGCCAATGGAAAGAGAACTAAACAGCACCTGAGAGTATCTACTTACATTCGAGTCTGAAGCATCCCAGTATGTGTCTATGCATATTAACAATGGTAATGCATTGTTTAGAAACGCTTGGGTGAAGGAAATAACACTGCAATGGGTGTATCTGATAAAGAATGGAAGTTGTATATGTTTATGTGTACATGTGTGTGCATGCGTGTGGAGTCTAATGCCAGGTTTCTTCCTCAGTTGCTCTCCACATTAGTTTTTGAGACAAGGCCTCACACTGAACCTGGAGCTCACTGATTTGGCTAGGCTGGCTGGCCCGCAAGCCCTAGAGATCCACCTGTCTCAACTACCCAGCTTTTTTATGGGTGCTGGGGATCTGAACTCATGTCCTCATGCTTGCACAGCAAGCTCTTTAAGTACTGAACCATCTCACAGACCCTAGAAATAATCTTATGTGTGGAGAGGGGAAAAGCCATCTTAGTCATGGAGTGCTGTTTATTTCAGGAAGACGGGTGACTGTGAGCTCCCATGTGGGTGCTGGAAATTGACCGTGGGTCTTCTGGAAGAGCAGTCAATGCTTTTCATCACTGAGCCATCTCTCTTACACTGTAATTAGCTACTCAAGTGATTATGGAGTGATAGGAGATGTCATTCTCTGAATGTTTCTCTTATTGTTTAATGAATAAAGCACTGTTGGCCAATAGGAAAGCAAGATAGGTGGGACTAGGAGACAAGGAGGAGAGAGGAAGTAGTAGGGGGGAGATTCAACATGGAGGACGGAGAGAGTAGAATGCCAGGCCCTCTCTCCGGTAAGATAAGACCACATGGAAATATTTAGATTAATAGTAATGGGTTAACATTTAAGACAGAGCTAGCCAATAAGTAATGCTAGTAACAGGCCAATAGCTTTATATCTAATACAGCATCTCTGTGTGTTATTTGGGGCTGGTGTGGCTTTGGGACCAGACCAGCAGGAAGTATTCCATCTACTGTGGATTATACTCTTCTTTTAGAGAGAAGCCTTAAAAATAGGTAAAATATGCAGTATGGCTAATTAAAATACTCAACTTTCGGTGGGTATGTGGACTACCTAAGGAAAGCCAGGTGTTCCTCAGTGTGATTTCTCAATACCCATTGCTGTGAGGCTGAGAACAGACTCCTTTTTAAGAGCTAGTTTCCAGAGAGGAAACTATCTAAACAGAGGCAGACTCTCCATCTGCCATGGGGTAGTTGCTGATGCTATCCAAACTGCAAAACTCTTTCCTGAAATTGCTGTTTTCTCATTAAAATATATAAATCATTCTTGATTCTTTAAGATATGGGCAAATCGTTAGGACCTTATTTTATTTATACTTCTATCTTATGCTTTCACAAAACAATACAGGCACTTTTCTAAGCTTTAGTTAGCCTCTACACCATGTATACTATATTGTGCTGAGTTAAGCCATTGAGTTGTTCCTAACACCTAACAGCTTCAGTGGGACTCAGAGACACATAAATTATAGTGCAGTGTGCTCTGATTTCAAGCAAAGCCTAGGGGGTTGGGTATAATCTTAACTCAGGTCTGCAGATTTCCTACCTATTAAGGTTCTCAAGTCAGGACCTGGGCTGGTATGAGAGCACTATTCAGAGAAGATTGGATGGGGCAAAGGGCAAGAGGACATAAAATTTTGTCTTACCTTTGGAGATGGGTCCTTTAATGTGAGTGTCATCAAGGATACAGACTGTGGGCTTCCAAGCTCAGGAGTGTCAGGAACAAAGGCTGACCAGTAGCCATATAGAACTTTTTTCTCTATCGATTTGATTGTAGAAAGAAAACAAGCTAATGCCCCTTGGCGAACCTTAGCTTGGTATGACCTTTCATAGTGAGAAGAATGTTTAGTAAGTTTTTAAAAATGCAAACGGAAATGCTATGTATTCTAACCAATTCAAATGACTTAAGAAACTAAGCATCCTGAGTACCCCTAAGGATGTTATCATCCCTTTCAAAATATGACCAAAACATGTTAGGTAACTTTGCCACAAGCTATTAATATTAAGGCTGATTAAAAACCAAACAAGAGTATAAGAGACTAATGTTTTGATTAGGAAACCCAGTTAGACAAGAAACAGTGCAGAGTATCCATGCATCTACTCAGTGGATAATCCCACAGCACTTGAGGTGGACACACACACACGCGCGCACACACACACACAAAGCCCCTACCACCGCTGACATGCTTTTTAGTGGAAGTGACAGATGGTTCAAAAAAGAACTGTTAACTGTAACACATTTTACATGACACTAGGGCAAAGGTAAATTACATGGTCATATAACAGAGACCTGAAGTCAGAATGGAGGTATTGGAAAAGTTTTCCAGAAACTATGACTTGTGAGCTTATTTTGAAGAGGGCTAGTGGTTAACAAGATGAAAGCCCAGAGAGAAGCAGAGTCACAACAGCAGATCCAGCAAGTAGCCATGGGTCAAAGTGACGCAAAGCCCCCACGTGAAGACGACCTTCAAGGTCAATGCCACATGGCAGACAGACAGGTTCTCAAGTCATATGCAACTACAAAGGTAGAATGTTATAACAAAATACTACTACCTCATTTTACCCTGCATGCCTCCTTCTGAATCGGAATAGTCTGACTCACTGCTGCTGACTCTTTTCCAGCTGGAGGAGGCGAAAGGCCAGGAGACCTGTTGTCTTCCTGCAGCTCTGCTTCCATCCACAGGCAAACTCTGCGAGCCCCAGGGGGAGGAGCACCAGGCGCTCTCGCCACATGTGTTTTTCCTGCTCGTGCTGAGAGCCGGGCCCACTTCCAATTCACCATTGGATTCTTCCTCCTCCTCCTTCTCTCCTTGTTGGGTTTTCTTTGCTTTTACTTTGTGTTTTTTCTTTTTATTCTGATTTTAGGAGCAAAGACATTATACATAATATATACATATGCATAACCACACACACATACTTACATACTTATATGTATCTACACATACACATATATATTATGACAGTCAAAACTACCTTTCAACTGAAATCATTGGTACCTTTGCATTTTAAAGTGACTGGAGATGCTCCCAACATGCAGTTTGCAGAAAGGAAAAAGAAGAAGCAAGAGTGGCAGAAGGTGCCAGGCATGACGCATGATGCACAGCATTAAACTCCCACCACAAGGAACAAGGCCCAAGTGACGCTGCAGTCACTTCTCAGAGTGTCTCCGCCCTCACCTATAAGCACCAGGCAAAGCTGTAGAGAAACTGGCCTTTTCCAGAGCATCTGCCAGAGCTCGAAAGCCCATGGAACATGAGCACAAAACCTGTCACCCAGGTGCAGCAAGTGTCCCTCTGGACAGCGCACAGGAGGTGGCAGCCATTGCACAGGATGCCTGTTCTAAGCATCTTAGGTTAGGCAGTAAAGATACGAAGTAAGGGCACTTTCTTTCTGTTCTTTCTGGCATCCAACTATCTTTGGGATCTGTTCCTTCCCCTTGTCTACTACTTAAAGTGCTCTTGACCTAGACTTTCTATTTGCAAAAATCTGGGGGTTTTCTCAGGCACGAATTTGACCATATTATTTTGCTATATGACTTTTCTATCACCTACAAGATAAACCCCTGACTCTGTAACACTCTGTGTAAGAACCCTCCACACTGCCAGTGACATGAGCCACACACTCTTACAGAGAATGCAGCTCTGTTTCCCCTCATCTCCACCCTGTTACTCATTCTGGAGTCTCCATTTACACAACACATCTTAAGTAAACCTCTTTCTTATTTGGACTGCATGCTCTGAATGTGATCTCACAGTATTCTGTAGGTGTTTTGGTGAAAGAAATTACAGGACTGGAATGGGTTACCCATCTTTATACAAAATTCCTATGGGTAGGCAGAATCAATCAATCAATCAATCAATCACTCAATCAACCTCCCCTCCCGTGTGTGTGTGTGTGTGTAACATGGGTGTATGGAGGCAAGACATCTGTGCATCTTCGTTTAACCCTTTCCACCTCATTTTTTGGAGGCAGGTTCTCAGTGAACTTGGAACTCACTGAATAGCCAGACTGACTGGCTGGCCAGCTCTTGGGATCTACTTGTCTCCACACATGCAGTGCTGGGGTTACAAAAGTGTGACACCAGGTTTTTTTGGTTTTTAAATATAGGTGGAAGGGATGCGAACTCAAGTCCTTATGTTTGTGCAACTGGTACTTTACCTACTGAGCCATCTCTCTAGCCTCTAGTGCCTGCATTCTTCATGTTTTCCCCAATGTCTCAGTACAGTATGTTTAATAACTGCTGAATAAATAAATAAATGAATTCCCAATGTAAGCATTCTTTGTCTGCTGGCACATTTCTAGCTATAAATCTTGCCCACGCATCTGTACACTTCAGAGTCTCCAGGGGAATGGGAAGAGAAAACAGCTATCTAGAAAGGCTGGGAAATGGGAGTGTGGTGTCATGGACACAATGACCTGACAGGCAGATGGTCTTCAGCGGCTCTGGAGAAGAACTGGCACATTAAGACCCAAAGGCTAAAAGGCAGCCCAGCCCACAGCCTGTTTCTATTATTATGCTTCTACTGGAATGCAGACCATCTGGTTGCTTTTGCACTATGGTACCTGTGATAGCCAGCCCTTTGCAAAAGAAGTGTATTGATTCTTCTTGATTTTGAGAGGCCCAGGAATGAACCTTCATAGCACTGCATGTTAAAGCAAATGCTTGTTTGCAGTGGTTACATTGCTAGACCTCTCAGAAGTACAAGGCACTCTAGCTGGTACTCTGAGCAATCGGATCAATTTTACATTTCTGTAGTAACTACACTAACTTGAAAACAAGTTTATAGTGGCCTTCTGAAGCAGCCAAGAGGCAAATACAGTGAGCACACACATCAACACAGCAAGCACTCAGACAATCCACAGCTGAAATCTCAGTGGACAGGGATGTACCGCAGATGGTCGAGCAGCACTGGGTTCTGGCTGCTGTGGTTTAACAGGTGATCGCCCATCATACTGAGGAAGTGGAGTTGGGTACAGCACCGCAGGCATCTCTATGTTCAATCCAGGGAGTCCGTGAAACATGACTTTCTAACAGTGAAAAGTGAGGAGAAACAAAGGCCACATAAATCATAAACAGAAACCAGCTGTTCTCATTGACAAAACACAGACAATGCTTAAAAACTACTACAGAATAAAATTGAGACAAAGGAGATACTTTAAGGTTAGTGCCCAAAGAAGTGCTTGATCCACACCCCCCTGAATGCTCCTGATCTCATCTGATTTCGGGAGGCCTGCAGGGTTGAGCGTGGCAAGTCCTGGGATGGGCAAAGAGCTTAATCGTGTCTACATGCAGCTGGATCTGCACTGGCCACACCAGATTAGGCTTAGTTTTAGTGCATCTATTATTTTGGCTTATCAACTCACTTTTATCCCGTTATTTTATGATATGATCACAAATTATTTAAACTAATTTATTATTTTTTAAACTCCAATTCTTTATTTTTTAAATTAGGTTTATTTATGTGCATGTTTTGCTTGCATGTATGTGCCTGTGGAGGTCAGACGAGAGGGGATGGATCCCCTGGCTCTGGAGCTGTGAATTGTTATAAGCCACTAAGTATGTGCCAGGTCCTCTGAGAAAGGAACAAGTGCTCTTAACCACCAAGCCATCTCTCCAGCTCCTAATTTATTGTATGTATTTATTCAACTATTTCCCTCTCTGTTTGCCCCTATTTAGGGATTAAGAGAAAGTAACTAAAATATTGGTCACAAAGCTAGACTGTTACAGATAGCTTTGACCTGAGGCAACACGGAACCTCTCTTCCTGGCTGACCTAAAGGGCAGTGGGTCTCAGAGGGTGACCTGACTTTCCCATTGTGTGCAGGCTCAGAAGCTAGTGATGGCTAGTAATGGCAGCCTGCTGCTCCTTAAGTACAAAAAGGCGAAGGAAGGTCCAAGATCATCTGTAATTAAATTATCTACAGATCATATCTCACCACTGATTCCTTCTGAGATTCCCAAGTAATTCTTAAAACTTTGATATATTGATTGCGGTTGTCCTCTGCTCTTAATTTTAACTGAGTATGGCTGAACGTGAACATCTTATTCTGCTCTTATAATCCACATTAAGAACTTCTAATGCCTTACCGCCAGGAGAGGTGAGAGGGTACAGGACAGCCCCACGCCCCACCCTTGGGCATGGAACTGTGAAGACTCCCTCACCTTTAGCACAGCGAGGAGTGCTCCCAGGTGCTCGGTTTGCGTCATTCTCATCTTCCCACCATTAAGAAGAGACTGTATGCCTTTCAGTGCATTCTGTAACAACTAAGGGGAGCAGAGATGCAAGTCAGAAGGCAGAATAAGACCTGGTTCCTCATGGACCAGCTCTGGAACAGTTAGATGGAAGAGAAAAGGCTCTTAGGGGGAGGACACTTTATGAAGCATGCACAGCGGAGAAGGGCCCCAGAGAGCAGAGCTGATGGGCGCTCTGGACAGCTTCCTTCCATTTACACCAGCAAGTGTAAATGATGAGCAAAAAGGGGGATGGGTGAGACAGCTCAGCAGGTATAGCCACCTGCCGCCAAGTCTGACGGCCTGAGCTCAGTTCCCAGGACCACTCAGTGGGAGGAGAGGACTTCTCCAACATGTCCTCCGAGCTCCACATAAGTGCTATGGCATGCCCATATGCACATACACCCATAACATAAAGTGTCATTTAAAAAATTTTTAGCTGGGCAGTGGTGGTACATGCTTTTAATCTCAGCACTCAGGAGGCAGAGACAGGTGGGTCTCTGTAAGTTCAAAACCAGCCTGGTGTACAAAGTGAGCCAGGACTGTTACACAGAAAAATCCTGTCTTGAAAAACAAAACACATTAAAAAAAAAAAAAAAAAAAACAGAAAGATGTGAGGAGCTCTGTAATAAACTGTAATGAACACCTTGAACAGCTCCTAAAGGCCAAGACATAGGTAGGAGGGCAGTTCTGATCAAGAATGCCCACAGGGGAGGAGGTGAACTGCAAACTTGTTGAAATAGTGGGGAAAGTTGATTTTCATGGATTATGGCTGCAACAATTACATTAGAAGCTAAATGTGTAAGCCAACAACAGCGACATGACTTTATCACATACTTTAAATGCTTCATCTTATGTACCACGTAAGAGCCCCACAATATGGCTTTGTCAGTTCAACTCTAGGGCAGAACATGGAAGTGCCAGAAACTTAACTAATCTGCCCAAATTACTCCATCTGTAGTCATCAGAAACCATGTCATATATAAGTTGGCACTGGGAAGGTGTCTAGGAGTCATTAAAACTTTAAAAATGGGAAGGTTGTAAAACAAGACATCAAATGATAAATGTGCTCATTCAAAAAGCTGAGGACCCAAAGAAAGAATTATTTCCAGTGGTCATATCTCAGTCAGGTACCAAAAACAACATACTATCTTGGATCTATAATACTTGAAATATATGCTTTGGAATTTAAAATATGCTCATGTGTCATCACATATGTCATTAAAAATATATTACTGAACAGTTTTTCTTCCTTTTCACCCTAAAGTCAGTCATAATCATTGTATTGTTTTTAGATTCAGGAGGAAAAAGAATAGGGTCTTTCAAGTTGTCAATACAAAACTCAAAGCTGGGTGGTGGCGGCGGCAGCAGCAGCAGCGGCGCACACCTTTGATCCCAGAACTCGGGAGGCAGAGGCAGGTGGATCTCTGATTTCAAGGCCAGCCTGGTTTACACAGTGAGTTCCAGGACAGCCAGGGCTACATAGAGAAACCCTGTCTCAAAAAAAAAAACAAAACAAAATAAAACAAAACTAAAGCAAGCAAAATAGTCTTTTTAATTCAAATAGTCATTTTAATTCAAAGGTGTAGCTTCAGTGCTATTGACTTACAGACACCGTTTACACATACATGTAGCTCTATCTTTCCAGACCAAACTAATAGAGTAGTCAGATCCTCTAGCCTCTGTTCTATGCCTACAGTGTCCAGATATTAACAGCAGTCTCACCTACCATGCAAAATGTTATATCATCCATATCAGACGATTTTGGAGACCGTAAAATAGTCAAGAAAGCTTGGAAGCAGATGTTCTGGTAGGAGTCCTCCAAGCACGGCTGTCCTGGTACACTAAAACACATGTAGAGAAAACAATTCAAGCAGTGTCCTTTGAAATGGTGTAGATAGACAAGCATTAATGCCAGCAACACAGACTGCTAAGTCTGGAACACATCCCTGAATACTACTGTGCTCCAGAAATGGCATTTTGGTTGATTAGTTACTGTTGGACCAGCATAGGCTTGACCACACATGAAAGTGGAAGAAAAGTTTCTATAAAAAAATGGCACAGAAGTGTAGTGGAGGTGAACGAAACAATCTCTTTTGGGTTCTGCTGTTCAGCCATAGGAGGGAAATAATGCAGGCAGATCCTGTGATATGAGAACATTACTGAATCTGCTTTCCCAGCCACTGGACAACAAAGTCAAGTCTGTGCTGTTTGTTACTGCATACTACAGACCAGCTCCATCTTCTTAAAGAAGAAACTAGACTTAATAGAAAAATCTCACAAGAGCCTAAATTCACATAAATATTCTTCCTAAAAGAATATGATAAGACTGACATATTACACACCTATCACTTTTCGCATGCATTTCTCCCTTCAATGTAAGATAACCTTGTTAAATGGCATAGGAAATGTAAACTAGGTTCTTTCTCTTTTTGTTTATTGAGACACAGTCTCATCCCTTGCCCAAGCTGGTCTGGTACTTGCTATATAGGATAGCCTCAAGCTAAGGATCTTCTTGCTTCAGCCTCCTGAGTGACGGGATCATAGACATGTGTCACTAGGCATAGCTTAAGCTAGGTTATTTTTCTACATTGGCTCTGGCTTCAGGCAGATACAACAATCTACGAAGGGCCCAGGAGAGGTCCTACCTTCTACTATTGGGAAGCCTGGTTGGATCCACATACCTGAGACATAAGTTGGCCATACAATGTACTGCAGCTCGCCTGACCTCAGGATCAGGGTGAGTTGAGTCACTCAACTTCATCAAGAGGCCGCTCTTGCCTAGCAAGTCTGGGAGATGCTGAAAAAAATATCAGCAGTGTGGGTATAAGAACGGCTTCTAGGAAGACAGTACTGGTTAGACAATATTTTCTTAACTAAAGGGCAGTTAAATATTTAAAAAAAATTAGCTATTAGGTTAAATCAAACATAATGCCAGGAATCAGTACTAAGAATAATTACTAGGTGACTGCTGGGGCTCTTTAGTCTTGGATACACGGACAGAGGGGGATGATGATGATAATGGTTAATAGAGAAGGCCAAGCACTGTTTCACTTCATCCTCAGAGCAATATCTTACACATGATCAGACAAGGCTCCAAGGGAATCAGGAAGGCTATACATGCAACGAGTGGCAAGATGAATACTTGAACACAGGTTTCTTGGCTCTCAAGTCTGTGCTACTAGCCTTTCAAAGGAAAGACATAACAGTTTAAATTATCTGTCCTAGTTAATCTCATTGGTCAACCTGACAAACTTAGAGTCACCTGGGAAGGGGGCTGGGACCTCAACTGAGGAACTGTCTCCATTAGACTGGCCTGGGGAAACGTTTGTAGGGCATTTCCTTAATTGCTAACTGATATAGAAGATTCCAGCCTACTGTGGGTGGTGCTATCCCTAGGCAGTTGGGCCTGCACTGTATAAATGACAGCTGAGCAAGCCAGGGAAGCAAGCTAGTAAGCAGCATCTCCCAGTGGTTTCTGCTGCAGCTCCTGCCCTGGCTCGTCTGGATGATGGGCTATAAACTGTAAAATGAAATTAACCCTTTCTTCCTCTAGCACATAACCTAAGACACTACCTTTTGACATTTTGAACCATTGCAGTAAACCAGTGTTGCCAGAGCTTGAAGAATTTCCATGTGTGTCCAAGAGCTACACTGATGAATAGCTGAGATTGTATAGGTCAACAGGAAATCCAAGTTCTGCTCATCTACAACCACCTAACAAGAAAGGAAAAAAATAGAGATGATCTAACATAAGACAATATACATTTATCTTTTTGTACCAAAGCGTTGGGTCTATGTTTGATCAAGACAGGGGGAGACCATCTTCTTGCTACAGGGTTTTGATCACTTCTGTCCCCTTGATATTTCCAAACTAGAACCTGGTAGTCCTTGTAACTTTTCCTGGAACTAATCAGAAACTGACAGCTGATGGGAGATGCCATTCTTTAAATGTTTCTCATATTAGTTAATGAATAAAACACTGTTGGCCAATAGGAAAGCAGGATAAGCGGGACTAGGAGGAGAGAGGAAGTAGTAGGGAGGAGTCAGCACGTAGAGACTAGAGAGGAGAATGCCAGCCCCTCTCTCCCGTAAGATAGGACCACGTGGAAGTACTTAGATTAATAGAAATTGGATTAATATTTAAGACAGAGCTAGCCGATAAGAAACTAGTAACTGGCCAACAGAATTATATGTATTACAGCATCTCTGTGTGTTATTGGGGGCTGGTGCAGCGGTGGAACCAGACCAGCTGGCGGGAAAATCTACTCATAACAGACAGCTATAAATACTGGCACAAGATTCAATACACTGAAATGTCATAATTCAACTAAATTTACTTAACACATAGTAATTTTTCAACTATCACATAGCAAACAAATATATCTACTAACTATTCATCTGTCATAATGTGAGGGATACACCAAGAAGACATGACACATCCCTAGAGTTTATAAGCTTCTTGAGAAAGAATGGGCTAACCAAAAAACAATTTATGGACATTCAAGTCCATATTCAGGATCATCAAATGCTAGAATGTTGGTTATGGACTATAGATACACCAGGTGATGGGAAGTTTTCCAACTGCCAGTGACACAGAGATGGATCACATATAAAGCACATGACAGTAGTAAAAATTCAGAAGCTATCTCCTACCTGTCTGTGACATTCTAACCCTGGAAGCAGTCTCTTCTCATTTAACACACACAGCTGGTTACACACCAGCATCCATTCCCTTGCCCGACAGCAGGGCTCTGGTTTTATTTGGATGCCCTCCTCTCTTGTAGTCTGAAGGATTCTGGTTGACACACAATGCTAATTGACATCCATATATTCATCTACTCGCGGATTAATTTCAAAGTTTTACAGATGGAAAACCAAAGAACAGACCTTAATAGAAATACCTGTGGACTTTTTACCCTGGGGCTCTCTATTCCTAACATACTTATGGGGTTTTATGTAGATCATAAAAATAGTCTCAGGTAAAGCAAAAAAAAAAAAAAAAAAAAAAAAAAAAGTCTAAGATGGCATGAGTGATGTTGGATTACTGAACCAAATATAAAAGAATATCCTCATAAGCAAAAGCCTAGAATTTCTCAGAAAATACATTTGGCCAGCGTTCTACTTGGTCTTAATTATATACTCTTAATAAGCATTGCTTTTTTTGGTGGTACTGATGCTGGTATTGAACCCATGGCCTCATGTGTGCCAGGCCTTACAAGGCTCCACCACTGAGTTATATTCTCAGCTCAAGGCATTTTGCTTTTCCAAGCTTTTCAAAAGATCAGACAACCCACCTGGCTCGATAGCAAACATCTGCAATTGCAACACTTTAAACATGAACAAAAAGATCAGAAGGTCAAGGTCTTTCTTGGGCCGACCTGAACTAAGATCCTGTCTCCAAATAAAACAAAACAAAATGATGAGCCTACCATATATGCATTCCCAAACACGGCCCTAAAGTTCCATATGTGATTACCTGTAATCTGTTAAGTAAATGATGGATCAGCTGAGACACTTTGCTGACAAGGTGATTCTGATTGAGAGGCACCAACTGACAAGCCCTCACAAGAAGAGCACTGACATCCTATTAAAAAAGATAAATGCACCCATTAGCCAAGTGAACACCCCAAAACACAGTCAAATGGGAAGTATAGTGAACGTTCCACAGTCAGTGAGGGAAAATATCCAAGTGAAAGTTGAGGAAGAAAATAAGGGTTGGGGGATGAAATAACAAAAATTAGGAAATACTAAAAAAAGAAGAAGAACTTTTACTATACAGTAAATTAAATAACAAAAGAAGGGCTTCCAACACAGAAAACACACATGTTACAGCTAAAAACACCAAGTGAGCCAGACATTCAATGCTATTGGGCAAATCAGAAACAACACTTACATGACCCTTATATAAAATCAGAAAAATTATAAAGTAAAAAAAGATGCTATCCACAAAAGACACCATCTGCTGATGCTCTTATGAATTTTTCCATTCTTATGTAAATGCACACTTATTTTTTAAAATTCGTATCCCTCCTTGAGCCCCATATCTGTCTCTTACTGTACAGATTATTTTATTGAGCAGCTTGCTTCTGCCATTTGCCAATATACATTGAAGATCTCTGATTAGGTTTACACTATGGGGTTTTTTGTTTTGGTTTATTTTATTTTTTTAATCAAATAGTAGATTCTGGCAAAGAATAGTCTGGAAAGGGGCTAGACTGGAGAAGAGCAGTGGGAGACCTGGGGAACTGTCTAGGCAAGAATTATTTTGCCTACAGCACAGACAATGGGAACAGAGAAGAGTGACCTGTGAAACATGTTTGAGGCAGACTCGGAAGAAATTTAACCCGACAGGCTGCAGGATAAAGGAAAGAAGAGGAGTGTGGACTTTGTGTGTACTTGGGGTGGGGCAGGGTAGAATAAATTGGGGATGGCAGTGTAGGAGATGAAGTATTCACCTTTGACAGCTATCAAATTGGAGATGCCTGTGGGCCATTGTAGGATTGGCTTAGGGATTCAGGGAAATTAGTAATATACAAGATCTGATGTGTATGAGTAAGATTACTCCGACAGCAGAAGTGAAGCAAACCAGAAGGAGCTAGTACGGAAACAAAACAGAAAACACAGGCACTAAGGCAAACAGGCTCCAATTCTAGCTCTGCCATTTGCCAAAACCGTGACGCTCTTTGTGAGCTTCAGTGTGTTCATCAACGAAAAGCAACTAAAAATCATCCTCGACTCGACTTTCCTGGAGTCGTTCACCAGGGATGGCAGCTGAGGGCGTCAGAACTCAGCTTTGAAAGATGGAGGGCAGAGACGGAGAGAGAAAGCCGGCTTGGAGCTAAGTCATCCGGTGTGCCGGTGACACCCGGAGGGGCCGGAGGGAGGAACCAGCTGTCGTTCTGGAAGGGTGAGGCACGCCGCCTACCTCGGGGGCCACGCCGCCGCCCTCGCTGTAGTTCTCGGAGATGAGCTGGTCGAAAAGCAGGTGGATCTCCATTCGGGACACGGTGCTGTCATCCGGCTGCAGCGCGCGGAGCCTGGCAGACAAGCGGCGGAACCCATCGTCCTCGGACGACGTCTCCCGCGGAGCCTCTCGCGGCTGCCCACAAGGAAGCGAGGAGGCGACCTGCGCCGCCGCCATTTTTCCCGCGTGATATAATTGGGAAGTACTTCCGGGGCACCGATTGGGGCAGGGCCTCGCTGTGTGCTCTAGTTCCGGAAAGTCTTTGTTGCACTACAGGTTGCAAGCGGTGGTGTGATTACAATAGCCTTCCTTCGGTCTAGTATCACCTTGTAAAAGGTGGCAGAAATAAGGTTTGGAAACATTGCCATCCACACCTCCTTATCTTTTCAGAAAGTTTGTCCCTGGGCTGGGCTGACATTACTACAGTTTCAATATTGTGGCTGAGTTGTAGCGCACGCTCGTTGATGGCAGTGACAGAAATGCTATGTGACACCCTTCTAAAAGAGTCCTTGATCTCTTTTACCCCCAGATGCGAAAGTACTCCCACCCAGTGAGATAAACTGGTTGTTATAGTAATGGTTCTCCTTGCTTGACACCAAAAGTGTCTGAAGCAGTACTTAAAAGACATGTTCAAACATTGCACTGAGCTAGAAGGAGGTGGGGCCCCTTTCTTACCACAGTAGAAGTATGAAGAGACTGTGTGAACAGTATGGGTTTAGCAACATGGATGACCCACATAAAGTACTATTCAAGACGGAATGACCTTGGGTTATAGAGTATCCTGTTGCTAAGCTGTGAGTTTCCACAGTCTCAGGGTAGGAGTTTGGTGTGTAGGGGCTGCTACCATGTAACTCGGATCAATGCAAAAAGTCTTCAAAGGCTTCCCTGGGAACCCTGTGTATATTTTTCCCCCTTTAGTCAGTGATGACCACATAATAGGTATGTTTATTTTATATACTACCAGATCGCAACATTTTGGCATTAGTAGCTTTTTCATTGTTAAGATTAGATACCTGAGAGGAACAATTTAAAGAAAGGAGGACTTATTTTGGGGCTCAGTATTTCCGAGGTTTAAGCCTGTCCCGCTTTGCTCTGCAGTAAAGGAGAATTATCATGACAACAGGTATGTTTGGTTGAGGCTGCTCACCTAAAGCAATCAGGAAGTGGCAAGAAACTAGGTGGGCCCAGGACAAAATACCCTAGTAACCTACCTCCTTCAGTAATGCCCCTGCTTCCTGAACAGTGTCATCAGCTATGGACCAATTGTCCTCAACATATGAGTCTGTGGGAGATGTGTCATATTCAAACCACAACAACATCCAACCAAATAATTCAAGTGTCATGGAGACTTTTGCAATGATGGTTTATTAAAAGAAACACCTCTGTGACCCTCCCCACTGTTATTGTAATCTCCATCCATGACCTCCATTTTCAGCTCCTTTCTTGGGCATGGAGTTCCAAATAGGCATATTTTTTTTTCCAGATAGAAGCTATAAAAAGAAAGTTAGAATTATTAAAGAAGATGTCCCCTGACGCAATTCTTCATTGGAGAAATAGATATTAGAAATTATACTTGAGACCTGCTATTTGGGGGTACCTGGCTACCCAGAATGCAATGAGAAATAGCAGTTCTTAATTCTGGAAGTGCTTAATTCTTAATTCTGTAGTGCTTGCTGAAAGCCAGCAAGCACTACAGCTGAACAGAGCAAATATAGTGTTCTAAACATGAACAATTCCGGTTTGTTTTAATTTAGTATTAGTATTATTTGTGTGAATGATTATGTTTGCATATGTGCAGTTATGTGAATGTCATGGCATACATGTAAGAGACTTTGAAAGCCAGTCTCTCCTTTCACCATGGGACCTCTAAGGCTCAAACTCAGATCGCCAGTCTTGGCAGCAGGAGCCTATATCCACTGATCAATCTGTTGGCCCAAACAGTTTGGTGTTTAGAGTGCATGCTAAACCTGCTAATATCATTTAGCCATATTAATACATCTTAATTACAGTAGCTTTTATTATACTTTTTTCAATTAATGGGTACTGAAAACCAAAAAGGGAAACTTATATAATAATATAAGTCCCATCAAACATTTTATAGAAGAAACATCTGCTTAGGTCAATATGGCAATGTGCATCAAAGGCTTAATATGGGAATATACTTTGGTCATTGATTATATATGTTAGGTTGTATCCCAAAGGAATTAATAAGGGTGTGCATATTTAATAGTCATTAAAGTCATGTTAGTATATAAAATAAATATCTTAAATGTATATTTACAGAGATTGCTTGTAGAAGAGCATATACAACGAACTATAGAGAAGCAAAGGTTTGTGGGATGGGACTGAGGCTAAGTACTGATATTAAAATTGTTGATTAACTATTTTTAAATTAAATAGCTAAGGAGTCAAAAAGAGCCAGTGGTGCACGCCTTTAATCCTAGCACTTCGGAGGCAGAGGTAGGTGGATCTCTGTGAGTTTGAGGCCAGATTGGTCTACAGAACAAGTTCCAGGACAACCAGAGCTATATAGAGAAACCCTGGGTCAAAACAAACAAACAAACAAACCCCAAAAGCTATGAGTCTTATTTTTAAAGATATTTTTATATTTTTGCATAATGAAATATGTATCACAGTCATAAACAGACATTATTTTTGGGTGATATATGGGTGATTTTATCTTCCTGCTCAAATATTGTCTGATTTTTCTCCTGGTAGACTGCATTGGGAAATGATTCTAAAGGTTTGGAAAGCACCATCTTGAGGTAGGTGCATCTTCTTCATGAAGAAAAAAAAGGGAAACACTATAGGGAGACACATAGGATTCTATCCTGCCAACTTCTGGAAAGTTCTGTGGGTGTCAAATGTATAACTGGTCTGGTCTGGGAAAGATTTGGGGTACCAGTGTGGGCCAGATGGTCTTACCTGTTACTAACTTGTAGCACAGATGTTACTGCACCCACTGCTGATGCATTGCTCCCCTTCCCCACAGTCCCAGTCACCTTTGCAGAGCTCAGCGCAGGTGCCTAAATCAGAAAAGATCATTTGAAGGCCAGGCAGGTGGAATAAACCTGGAATACCAGCTGAGGCAGGCAGATGACCAGCTAAGGGCCAGCCTGGGCTACACAACGAATTTACTCCCTCACAAACAGACAAACAGATGGTGAAACCCACTGTGCTTTAGGTTCAAGTTCTGGAGATGACAGGCCTCAGTTAAGGAGTAAATTTCACTGGTTTCTTTTAGCTCAATGCAGAGTATAATTCGTAAGCTGTTACCGTTTATTTCTGCTAAAAAACCAAGGGACACAGATAATCTCACTTAAGCAAGCCCACTTTAGAGATGTGGATAGCGGGGGGTTGTGGAAAAGAAGAAAGAAGGTTGCCTAAGTGAAATTACTTCTCCATCATCTGGTGCTGCTGCTCCTCTGAGATGAGAAAGTTGGTGACCCCTTGACCCTATTCACAGTAGTTTGGTCAATCTTTTAAGTATTTGGGTTGAGCTTTTGCTATATATGACGAATTCAGAAAGCGCTGAGGCCTAAGACAGGCCCCTTGGAGCCTTCCAGTGCAAGTAAGACTTATATTTAAGGTTCCAAAAGCAAAGCAGTGTTTCATAAGTGTCCTGCAAAGTGGATCCAGAGGACTCGAAGGGCTCGGAGGAGATAGGCGTCATTTCTTGTTCATCAGAAAAAGTAAGCCTTGAAGTGCAGGAATATTCTCAAGGAAGAGTAGTTGGGGAAAGCAGAGGGAGTGCTGAAGGGAAAGACACAAGAATTCCCAAGGGGAAGCTGTAAATGGGCAGGGTTTCTGAGATGGCTGCACGCTGCCTAGGATACAGGACCTACAGAGGCATTCCCACAGCTCTAGACTGACTCTTCAGGTCTCCTCTCTTAGACACACCATTTGCTTCTCTGTGTTCCCTGGAGTATGGGGAGCCAGGGGGAGGGGAAGGGGAGGTCTGGCCAACTTTGGGAGTGGCTGGAAGTAAAGCAGGAGAAGGAAACTCTGCAGAGAGCAACCACGTGGTCAGGACCTGTGGATTGGGGATTCCACTGCTGTCACTGGGGAAGATTACCTGCTGTGGAGGCAGAGATAGAACCAGGATTTAACTAGTCAACACACTGAAGAAGGAAGAGAGGGATGGGGAGAGCTTTGAGGTGTGTGTGGGGGGAACTATGGCAATGGCAGAGCCTTGGAGCAATCAGGGCTGGACACAGTGAGGCAACCAGAGGGCAAAGGCCAGAAGAGAGGCAATGTTTCAAAAACAGGAAGTTGATGGAGTGGGGAAGAGGGTGAAGAAGGGACGACTAAGCTGGATCTAAAGACATTTTGGAGTAATACATTTCAGTAAAAAATAGGCCAGGAAAAAAGCAAGCTGCAGAGTGGGGGTTGGGGGATGAGGGCTTGGGGATAGCAGAGAAGCAGACAGTGTTAGGGCTGCAAAGGGAGATTTTACTTCTGAGAAGGGTCAGGAGACCCATCCAGGGCACCAGAGAGGAACGCATCATGTGTTTAGTGGGGTAGGACTTGAGGCCGTGGTTACCAAAGAGTCAAGAGAGGAGTGGGTGGAGAAGTAAGAATACTCCTTTGAGGCCAAAGGAGGTGAGGTGCTTGTTGTATCCAGCATAGCAGGATGAGGCCGGAACCTTGCCATGGGTTTGAGATCACCCTGGGCTGCACAGTGAGTTCCTGGCCTGCTTGGTCTATGGTCCGAGACTGTCTCAAACAAACAAACAACAACATCAAAAACCCTATAGCAACAAGCCCTTTTTGTGAATATTATTGGTAAAGAAGATTGAGACTGACCCATGTTTAACACAATTAGAGAGCTATTTTGTTTAGGCAGGAAGAAAGTGGTAGAGAGGGAGATGCGGGGAGGTGGAGAATGGCTGTTGAGCAAGCAGGAGCAGAGTCCAGGTAGGTGGGTGACCCAGCAAATGGAGAGAGAGAAGAAAATCGGAAGAGGCATTCTGTTCTAAGGGACCATCAAGGAAGATCCTAAAGAGCCCCCCCCCCCCCCAGCCACTTCCTGCGCGCATGCACACTGGTTCTGGATGTCCTACCTCTGGCACCTTCATTCAAGGCAGAACAATGCTACCTTTTGCCCGGACTTACCTAAAAGTTGCAGTGGTCTCACTGCAGCCTGAAGCTCCTGGACCTCCAGGCTGAGGGCGATGAGGGACACCATGACAAGGAAGGCTCCCAGCTTCATGGTGCTGGTGGAGGGTTTTAGCCAACATGCAGCGGGGTTGAAAGCTGCCAGAATTTAAACCTTTTCACCCACTGGGCTAGAATGCAACGTCAGGGGTGGATCTGCACACCATGGAAGCCAAAGCCCCGCCCAGAAACTAGCCTTTCTGGGAACACACACCATGTGTGTCCTGGGTAATGCCATGTTACCCAAGCCAGGCTCTGTGC